ATATATATATATATAGATGAAAAAATATAGAGGGGCAAACAAGTTCGGTTTAGCCAAGCCGCCAGTTTCGGCGCGCAGAGGTCCAGAGCCCGATACTGAGACAGAAAACCTCCGGACCTCTCCCTGGCTTTGCAGGGCTTCCGGCAGCTGGAAGCGAACCTTGGCTGGCATTCTGGCATTCTTAGTTTTGAGCCTCATGAAAAGAATCTGTTCCGTGGATCTACAGATAAGATAAGGAAGCGCCTTGCCCGAATTCAGGCCGGGAGCATCTTTCTATCGCTTCAGGCCGGCATTCCCATGCCATTCATGGCAGCGTGCCAGCTCCGTTTCAGACACGGGCGGTGTTTACAGGTGTTAGACTTTCGGCCGCGAGGCAGGCTTTTCGTAAGGTGTTGGTTTGGAAGGGGGTTTCAAGTTTCAAGTATGCTCGGCGGATGTTTCAAGAACGCTGGTGAAAGCTTTTAAGCAAAGCTCCGATCCTACATCTACTGTAATGGTGGATTTGCATGTGTTTGAGCTCTGCCGATGTTTGTGCATCTCAAGTTGCCGCAATGCCACCAGGTTCAAACACACTGTAGCCAGATATTCAGAAAATCCTCTTCTACTAAATCTGGCTCAAAATATACTGTAACCAGGAAGTCGATCCTTCTCACTAGAAGCAGTGTATTTGAACCAGAGCAGCAACCTGACGGTCCTGCGCAAAGAGTCGCACACCCGGTGATGTGAGCTCTACTGCGCAAGGCACCGAGCACGAGGTTAAGCACGAAGCCAGGGAAGGGCGAGGTGCGCATCAGAGTTACCGGAAACTTCACGGCAAGCTGTTGGTGCAGAGGCGCTGATCATCAGCCCGACGGCAACCAGCCCCTGAGTCGCGTGTGGCAGTCAGCCAAAGTGCTNNCTACACATCCTCGAGTGGATATCACTCGCCTGAGCCGCGTGTGGCAGTCAGCCAAAGTGCTGGACCACGCCATCGACAAGGTAGTCTACATCGGCTACGAACAGCCCATCGAGGTTTTCAGAGCAATTCTCCCGAGCGGCCGCGAGCAGCTGCTGACCACCGAAGGGTGGGAGCTCTGGATCCTGCAGAGGTTCGCCCTCCCGCGGCACCCCAAAAAGGCACTCATCGGGATTCATCGAGCCGAAGATCCTCATGGACGCGGATGTCACCAACGAGAAGATCAAGACTTTTAATCTTCTCGTTGATGACTGATGCCACATACATGAAGTCCGAGGATGGCACGTGTACCTATTTCTTCCTGGAGGGACGTGCTTGCGACGAATCCACAACGCCGAGCGGAGCCAGAGCAAAGCTCGAGATAGTTTTGGGTGGCCCACCCCAAAAGAGCTAAACATTCACTCGCGGATGTTTAGTTTCGGGCGGGTGGACCCCTTTGAGGTGGGGTATGCTTGCTCGTGCAAGCATACCCCACCTCGAAGGGGTCCACATGCCCCGAGCTACACATCCTCGAGTGGATATCACTCGCCTGAGCCGCGTGTGGCAGTCAGCCAAAGTGCTGGACCACGCCATCGACAAGGTAGTCTACATCGGCTACGAACAGCCCATCGAGGTTTTCAGAGCAATTCTCCCGAGCGGCCGCGAGCAGCTGCTGACCACCGAAGGGTGGGAGCTCTGGATCCTGCAGAGGTTCGCCCTCCCGCGGCACCCCAAAAAGGCACTCATCGGGATTCATCGAGCCGAAGATCCTCATGGACGCGGATGTCATCAACGAGAAGATCAAGACTTTTGATCTTCTCGTTGATGACTGATGCCACATACATGAAGTCCGAGGATGGCACGTGTACCTATTTCTTCCTGGAGGGACGTGCTTGCGACGAATCCACAACGCCGAGCGGAGCCAGAGCAAAGCTCGAGAAAGTTTTGGGTGGCCCACCCCAAAAGAGCTAAACATTCACTCGCGGATTTTTAGTTTCGGGCGGGTGGACCCCTTTGAGGTGGGGTATGCTTGCTCGTGCAAGCATACCCCACCTCGAAGGGGTCCACATGCCCCGATCTACACATCCTCGAGTGGATATCACTCGCCTGAGCCGCGTGTGGCAGTCAGCCAAAGTGCTGGACCACGCCATCGACAAGGTAGTCTACATCGGCTACGAACAGCCCATCGAGGTTTTCAGAGCAATTCTCCCGAGCGGCCGCGAGCAGCTGCTGACCACCGAAGGGTGGGAGCTCTGGATCCTGCAGAGGTCTGCCCTCGCGTGGCACCCAAAAAAGGCACTCATCGGGATTCATCGAGCCGAAGATCCTCATGGACGCGGATGTCATCAACGAGAAGATCAAGACTCTTAATCTTCTCGTTGATGACTGATGCCACATACATGAAGTCCGAGGATGGCACGTGTACCTATTTCTTCCTGGAGGGACGTGCTTGCGAGCAAGTCTAAGTCGAAATGAATGCCCACAGCTTTCAAGCGTGCAAAAAGGTCGGAATGCCAGCACCGAGGGTTGGGCAACAAATCGAAATTTGTCCCGGACCTCTCCTAAGATCAGAAATCGAAACCTGCCCGACTCTGTCAAAATTGAAGAGTCAAAGCTTAAGACAACTTGGCGTCTCCTCGGCAGGTCGGGTCCTGGTACGGGCCGAGCTCCCGCGGGCTCCGAGCTCCTCCGGGCCCTGGAGGTGGCGGTGGCATTTGTTCTGCTAGGTTCCTTCAGTCCCATGATGTCACTTAGGTCCTAACTTTAGGTATGTGCAGTATCTTTCTGAGGCTTCTGCGCCCTTGTCGGAGTGTTCAGGGGGCCGCGGTTGAAAAAGGTCGCCTAGACATACAAGAGAAGTACAACTATCAGCAGCAACAGCAAGAGCTAAACAGCGACAGCAGCAGTCGTCATGGGCGTCGTCGTCGAGGAGGCAGTTGACAATGGTTTCGATGTCGATTCCCGTTCAGTTTGCAGCTTCAAGTCCAGGTCGAGTCGCATTGAGGGGTTTTGGTAATAGCAGTAGCAACAGTGATCACTTCGCACTGCATCAGCTGGCAACAAGCCTCGTCCACTGCGTGATGCAAGCAATCGTGATCGGAGTAGTCCTACGTAGCGGCAGCGACACCACGCAAAGAATCTTTACAAGGCGTGGGCTCACTACTACATACTACTACTGGTACGGGCTAGAGCGACGTGGCAGCCACGGGCATCCGAAGTGACTTGAGCGTCGTGACTGAATGCACTAGTCTTAGAGTCTTAGAGAGTTGAAGAGTACAGCAGGGCTTGGCCTGGCCGTTGGTGGTGCAGCAGGGCTGGTATCCCGCAAACCTGAGTTGCACTGCTTTTGGTTTTTGGCGACGGTCGGACCGTGGGGAGGCCTCTGAAGACTTCTTCAAAGCCATGGATCCAGAGGCGCTCAGGATGTCAACTCTCATTGATGGCCCCCGCCCACACTTGACTTAACAGGCTTGCACGCAAGAAAATCCTAGTGTGACTTGCTATGGACCGCTGGCTGGCAGGCGTCTCTACAAAGCATGGAGGCTGCATCTCCCTCGGAAATCAAGTTTAGCACTCCGACATGAAGCTGCAAGTGCAAGTGGCCCCCAAAGTCGCATTCAGCGGTACCCAGGCCGTGGCATCCCTGTGCGCTGGCTATTCTGCTGGCTGCGTGCTGGCCATTTGTGCAGCGGCGGGGTGGTCCAGGATACTGTGCGCGGTATAGAACTTCCTACTCAATTCAAACGCTTGCATCCAGGATCAGCCAGAACATGCATTCGGCCTGGCCATCCAAGCAAATGCTTGTCGTATTTGTCGGTGTCCTCCGTCATCGCCATCCTCCTCATCGCCAGCAGCATCATCGACGAAGACATCATAACCACCCCCGTTGTCGCCACCACTCCCAACACAAGAGGCAGCATGAGCAGCAACAGCACAACCTTTGCCGAAGTGTCAATCTCTTGTTTGAGCTTTGTCGAACATTCAATCTTCATGCCCAGATTCATCGCTTATCGCTATGATGACGATGCCGATAAACGAGCAATAAGGATGATGACTGCTGTGTGGATGGAGATGCTGCTCTGGCCGATGACACTGATCATTCTCATTCGTGAAGACTCATTAATATCCATGCTTCTAAAGGACGTGTAGTGAGATGGGTGAAGTAACATTTGCGCACATTTTTGTTCATGCCTGGAAAATACTTCAGCTGAAAGGAGAGGATCGAACCCCAGCCGTGAAATTGCCGAAGGAGAGCAAATTCCGGCCTTGCAAGGTCCGACACCGCTGGCAGCACCTTCCTAAACAGGCTGGGTTCCAGAGCACAACTAGCCTTGGAAAGCGATGTGTGAATGTTGCTTACAAGGACATGAAGGGGACGGGGAAGTCGAAGCAGCTGGATCGTACTTCTTGGTGATGACAACCGATAGTGCGAAACATGAAGCACATTGCAGCCTTCTGCATGCAGCAACATAGCTTCGCAGCCCAACAGGCAGATAAGCTTGCTGGCAATAGCCCCGATCCACAAGTCGTGTATAATCCCCAACATCATTGCAGGAGCGGGCGAAGATCCTCCTGGTCCTTCGCATACTTCGGCTGCTGGACGCCTCGGCGCCAGTTCCTCGAGGGTAGCTTTCAGTGATTCCGCTGGTCTGAGGGTTGAAAGGCTGGAAGCTTGCAGCTTTGGACTGCGGGCAGCTCTAAGTTTTGCAGAGCTTTAAGCAAAGTTGTCAGCACGCTTTAGAGTGGAATTGGATGCAGCTTCTTCAGGCCGGCCTTAGCTGCAGCTGCTTTGGCTGCAGGCAGCGTGCCAGTGCGGGCCCCGCGGTTATAGGATTCCCAGGATGCAAAGAGATCCATCGGCAGCATGCGCAGGGTTCATGAAGAAATCTTGCTGGAACCTCGAATCTCCGCTGCTGAAGCTGTCCTTATTATTGCGAGGTCCTTGGTGCCAAAGCCGGCATCGAGCGAAAGCAAGTGGAGGCGAGAGCCTGCGATGGCGATAGTAATTTGAGCAGTTGGGTTGAACATACGTCGTGCTGGGAAGAACGCAATGTCAATGTACTTGGTAGTGCGGGCTTTCTTCAAATCCAGGGAAAGTAGCGGGAGAGATATATGTGCAACAGACGTTTGCTGCAACAAGGGGTTGATGCCGGGCGCATGGTTGGAAACTCATGAGCTTGTCGCTTGTGATGGCCTTGATTAACTATCAAAAGTTGGCAAAGCCGCCGCGAAGCTTTTGAGCCCAAGGCAAGCACCAGAGCTGAGACCTCATCCACAAACCAATGAGCCCAATACTGGGCTCTCCCGACTACTTCTGCAGGACGGAAAAAGGCTCTCAAAAAAAAACAATGGGAAGCCCCATGCCCAAATCTCAGATCCCGAAACCGTGAAACCCCAAGACCGTGAATCCTAGACACTCCCATTGCCTACAGCCCCTGCAGTCGCTGTCAGGCAGCCTTTGGTTCAAAGGTGGATCTGGCCTCAGCTCCCTGCATCACTTGGTAATCACTATTGCACCTCGTAACCACTAACATGAGCACTTAGTATTTCTACTGCAAGTTGCACTGCTATTGCGAAAGTAACCATTGATACCACAACTATCAACACCACTGTGACGGGCTTCTGGAGTATCAGTCTCGTCGGCACTTTTTTAGTTCATCACTCATCATAGCTCCAAGTATTGCGCCCTTCTGCCCTGCCCTGCCCCTCCCCTTCCTCCGTCCCCCTCCCCTTCGTGGTCGCTGCTGTGCCATGCCACGACGTGTTTTATGCACGGTGGACACTCATGTCGCTGCCAGGTTAGAGTCTTATCAGCAGGATTCTCGATTGCCCTTCTCAGCACACTTCGTACGCATAGTGTGAATGGTTGAGTATAACATTTCCGCTCAAAGCTCAGGCCCTCTTGCTGGTGGAACTCCAGCAACTTGCCCGACTCTTACGTTGGCAAACCGAGCATTCAAGCTTGCCCCAAGCTGAACACCATTTCAAGTGGCATCCATGCTGAACAAGCGTAGACATGTCAAATGTGGAAGAAGGGGTCGCTGTTCAAGCTGGGTGGTTGTGCCAGTCGTGTTGCCATTCCTATTGTCACACTGTGGCACAGAACCATAAGTCGTGCTACTTTGAGCAGGTTTGTGCTGCTCTACTTGTCAAGTTGTGACTCCCTTGATTTTTCAACGATTGTGAAAGAATGCCTTGTGCTAATGTATATTATACATAAGGCACAGGAAAGGGCATTCGTCATGCAGTTTATAGCTGTCGCTGCAACGTCAACAGGAAGAGCACCGGCAAGCTGTTGTTTGAAGCTCCAGCAAGCCTGCCGACACCTGTAATGACTTGAGGCCACGATCACACGCACCTTCGAGGCCGCCATGACAAAGTTGAATTTCAGTACTGTGGCTGCAATCGTGGATGCTTGCTTTTGCGTTTATGCCTCGCTCAGGGTAGGTCCGCGGTAGGCCTGGTACGATGTGTTTCATGCTGAAGGATTCAGATCATAGAACTGGTGAAGAGTATGTTCTCTCTGCATAGGAACGGCAGTGGCGGTGGCTATAGGCAATTCAAAAACAGGCGGCTCTTGCAGTGCTTTGTGTCCCAACGGCTGTGATGGCTGTGAATCGAAAGTTCGGGTGCATGTCCAAGTATTTAAACTCACGATCGACCACCTCGAAAGAAAGTGCAGTGGAAGGACGTAGGGAGCAAGGTGCGGGATGTTTGGAATTCGAGGTGTAGTACCTCCTGTCCTGAACACTTTCAGCGTTCGCTAGTGTGCAACAGCTGGGGAAATTCTCCCTTCACAGTGATGTGAAAGTTCTGAAATCCGACGATGTAAACTTTTGCCTGTAAGCCAGACAATGCGACATGCATCATTGAGCCTTAGTTGCCGAATGCAGGCAGAGGCACGCGAATCGGGCAGATTATCGCCCGGCCAGGCATCGCCTGGGAGAACGTCGTAGGGGTGAGCCATCCATCCCGAGTTTGCAATCCACAATGATCTTGCATGGTTTCGGGTGTATCCGAAGAAGATAGCTGCGACAAGGCAGACTTAGGAAATCTCAGTTGTCCCCTCAGAGCTGGCGAGTTTTCTGACACCTTGGCGGTTTGCAGGCGGATTTGGTTCAGACCCTCCTGACCGCTCAGAGGACTCAGCATCATGCCTTTGACATGCCTGCTGTGTGACTGGAGGCGGACTCGTGGTATGCTGTCCAAAGCAGGACGCAAAGCTCGTCATCAGAAACGTTGATCATTTTTCTAGCGAAGAAGGCCGGCCATTTTTGATCAGAGCAACCGCTGGCCTCCACCATTACCGCCAGCAAGACACCACTGCCGCCACTGCAAAAGAACATGCTGCCCAGACAACTTACAGTGAGGCCTCGAGGTTCGCATTTGTATATAGACTGTTATATAGACTCGTGGCAGTTCAGTTCATCATGCGCTCGCACTGCGTGGCCACAGCTTCCGTACTCCTGTCGATCGCAGTTTACCTTGGAGGGATGTTGAATGTCCAGCATCAATCCTGCCGCGTTTTGGTCTTGAGCTCGCATGGTCGTTGGTCAGTTGATTTGACAAGTCCAGAGTAGTCTGGCATGTTACGAGTGTCAGATCGATCACTAGTCGTGCGGCGGACACCTGGAGTTGGGTGGTCAAGACCAGCTGGGCATCGATTGCAGCTCCGCTCTGAAAGCCAGGCTGCGCAGCTGCGACAGATCGCATTTAGACTGAGTGGTGCGCGACGAGGCCGTGCCCGGAGTGCTTGCTTCTGGCTTTCGGCCGATGTCGGAATGTCAGCTTTCGGGCCGCCAGTGTTCGCGTGCCTTCGCCCAGACAGTACCAGCCCGTTTCCGGAGCTTCTTACGCCCGGAAACTCAAGGATCGGAAGACGATCATGATCGAAATGATAAAGATAGTAGCGGCAAGTAGGACATTGTGATCATGATGGTGAGGGTCGGGGTTCTGGTGTGCTGGTCGTGAAGATGATCAGCAGTGTCATACTGACGAGGTTCCAACTCGGCTAGCCCCGAGCACTTGGTGGCAGCTGCCTTGGGCGAAGGGCTCAGCCGCTTCTAGCATAGCAACTGGCTTGCCTTGATCTTACAACACCCCTGTACCACCCGTGTATGTTACTGAAATCACACTCGATAAGACGTTACGAGTGGAGATCCCAGTGCCCAACTGCGATAAGCACTGACCACTCGTGAACAACTCCCACTGTCGATTGGTGGAATCTGGAAAGCCTACAAGTCGTCAATGAAAGTCCCACCGCTCATCAGTGCCCTGATTTCCTGCATGCTTGGACGACGTCCTGCGCGACTGGGTCAATCAGCACGCGTTGAGTCGAGTGTCGAACCTAGTTGTGTAGTTGACATCTCACAACTTAAGCTCCTGGGCAAGGGAAGGGCAGGCTAATGGCTGCATCGAGTCAGCGTACTAGCAGAATTGGCGCTGAGCCTGCTCAGCGCAGCCTCAGGGACCGAAGTCTTCGGATCTTTGGCGAATCTCCTGGGTCTCGGAAGGACCTGACTTGCTCCCGGCTTGGAGGTTCCCTTGCATTTCGTCACGGGCTTGCCCGTGACGTCTGTGCTTTTTCTACTACCCATCGTCCAACTTCAAGTAATTCGTCCCAGGACGACTGTGTCGGTTGGGTGATGACGCCTGGTGCTGCTGGGTTCAAGCCACGATTCAAGAAGCATCACATACCTTCAAAGAAGAGAATTTTGCGCTAACTCGAACTAAACTATACTTCGAACTATTACTGTAGACCCTTTGTCGCGATCGGAACATGACGTCGGGTGGAATCCAGCATTGCAGCCTCTACACTCTACACCCGGTCGGCATCTTATGCGCACTGCTCCGATCTGTGCCTTGAGCCAAACGACATCTTTGCGCCGGAATGGCGTCGATCGTTGATACTGCGTTTACACCGCCGTGGCGCATGCCTCAGCTTGCATGCGTTTAGTCTTCACGTCCAATGCAGCATCGGAGTGAAATTCCAGAAGGTGCGCAATCTCCACATCTGTGACCTGAGGCTGTATGGAACTGTGGCGGCTTTCGTGCTCATCACGTGCGGGACACAGACTGATGGAGGAAGAAGGATGTCACGAGCTAGCATGGGTGTAGTCGTCAACCTTGAATTCCAGTTGCCGTCTTTTCGTGGTTTGTCTCGACAGCTCCTCAAACTTGAGTCCAAATCCGTCGTACACTACACGGGGACCCAGACCTTACCTACCGAACAGAAGAAGCGTGCCGGCATGTTGAAAAGGACCTTGTCAGCTGTCAATAAATGATGTCGTGGGGCTGGCTTGGGCCCATTGCGCCCTGCATGGGGTCGCCTCGCATGGTATATGGTCACTGATTCGTGAAAAACAAGAGCAGCAACAAGAGCGGTTAGTCCTGGAGCGATTTGCCACGAGGGGCCTCCTCTTCGCGACGATGAAGTTTGTGGGGCGCCTCCTTGCGGACCGGCAGTTGGCGAGAGTGCCTTGGAGAGAGAAGCCATGCCCGGTTTTCTGGGAGTAGATTGGTTGCGTGATGATTGACTGAAACTGAGTATAAACTGCAATCCTCATTGCATTGCAGAGTATCCCGGAGCAGCACCGCAGTCCAACAAATGCGGGTGCCTATGCACCGATGTGTTCAAAAGCTCATCTCGGCAACTCTCAGTTTCTGATTTAGGCAACGAAACCTCGCGGATGACGCTCTCATCGACTTTCCTAGACGTTTGTGGAGCTTCGGTTTCGGGCCAGCTCTGTCTACTTGCTGACGGTGTCCGTGCTGCCAGCCACCCAAGGTACATCCGCCAAACGCCCGCAGGCTTAGCACAGAAGATTTCGAGGCCCGAAAGACTTGTTCGAGCAGTTGGACTTACATGTCATGCAAGTTGAAGTATCTTGGACCAGTATGGCATTGGATGGGGACCTTTGCCTTTCGTTTCTCCTGAAAAACCTCTTATGGCATTGGGGTATATCGCAAGTTGCCGCACGCAGCGATCTAAAGAATTACCAATACTATTTTGGTGGTTCCTTATTATGATTATAGTATAAGGGACCCCCAAATCCTATTCTAATTATTGGCGGATGTTTTGGAGGCGCTGGCTTGCCGGACTGGCCTCACACGGGCAGAGATCGCCCGATTGCAGCGCGCCTGCCTTCAGAAATTCCGCGTGGGTGTAGTAAGGTGCCCGACACCCTACAGCATGGCACGCGAATGTCTTGTGTACCCTGTATGCCGGCTTTTACTGTAGCAGATTCGATAAACTCAAATCCAAGTTTGATCGACTATTGCATCGCCCTTTCTGCATACTGAGCCTTTAGTGCAGTCCGAGGTATGTGTCGTTCATGAAAATCACGGGCGGCAACTCGCACGAAGATGTTGCTGGCGCCTCAGGTAAATCGGGCTGAACTGAGATGGTCGGGGCCTTTTCGGAAGGGCTGTGGCTGTGGGGCATCCTGACGTGCTCAGGACAAGGTCATCGAGGAACTGCCCTACTTCGAGGGCCCCCTGCAGGATCGGATGAAAACTGCTCTGCAACCTGGCAATTTCAAGTGCAGTTAGATGCACCAGTTTGTCCAAGTCCAAGGGCAGGTCGACTTGCAGTTGTCCCCTCCCAGTCTTCTGCGCTCAGGAAACTACCAGAGAAGGTCGACTTCGTGCCCTGGTTCACAAGTCCTTCCAAAGTTGTGGATGTTGGAAGTAGGCCGATGCCACCAGAATCAGGACACTGGCACTAGCTCTTTGTGTCACGATCACGTCTCGATGCTGGTTATGCCGCATGCCCATGTCTCAACTTAGAGCAGGCTCATGGGTCCTATGTCTCATATGAGCCGTTCTTCATCGTATCTGGGTATCACAACTTTCAGGTAATCCTTGCCACGGCGCTCAGAAGCTTGGTGACAAAGTGGGGTATTTCCGACGGAGATTTGCGGCAGCTTCAGCATCGTGAATGCTTCGGCTGACGGGAGGGATTATGCCTGAAGTGTAGAATCGGAAGCTCAATGATGTGCCTCTGCATCGCGTGTAACAAGGCAACGTGGAACTTTCCATTTCATGCAGCTACAGTACCTCGCCTGTCCCCTGTCGCCCAAGGTGTGTTTAGCGAGCGTGCAGCACTCGACGACAAGATGCGTGCTTTGGCCACATCTTCGGAGAGTCTACAGCTGTGCCACCAGAAATAGAGTGACCAACGCCACCGCATGTATCTGTCGAGGCTTCCTTTTCCGTATGTACAGCTCCGACCTTGGAAGTGTCAGCAAGCAGGCCGGGCGTCAGATATGAATGGCATGATTAAGCAACCGGCAGTAGCTGCATCAGCGATTGTGGACAAGTCGGAGCTCTCAGAACGCGACAGGATCTCACCAATCTCATGAATGACGTTCTGCCACCGCATCTTATCTGAATGACAGTCAGGTCCTGCAACTCGTGCAACAACGATCGTGTTTGTGATTAGTGCCTTCGATTTCTGCCTCGGCTTGGCATGGCTTGGCGTGCACAGCATCACCAGACATAGCTCTCTGTCTCACAGGTTCCCCGACGACGACGAGAGAAACAGGCCAAATGCGTGAGAATTGGTGGAGCACGGTGCTTTCGTCGAGAAGCAAGCCGAAGTACACCTTTGTATTCTGACTATTTTTGCAGCGAATGTTGCACAGAAGCGTACTCGTAGCTTCCATACCGGGTCTGTGCTTCGCGAAACCCCCAAAGCTATTGAAAGAGAGAGTCTGCAGGTTAATCGACCGCGCGGTCCAAGGCACCTTCGAAGAGCCCCTTTGTTTGATGAGGGCGTTGGAGGGATGCTCCAAGATGTTCCGAGCGGAGTCACATCAGCAATAAGCTGGCGATACCTCAAGCAGAAGGCCCTCGTCCATTGAACTTAATTGCAAGAAGAATCAGGAGTGACTGCGATATCTCCTGTTGTGATGTGCGCACTACGGGGTTATGAAGTCGTCTGGCACCGGCCTGAACGATGTGACAGGCACCTGGTGGCTTATCAACGTTGCAACTGATGCCCTCTACTAAGGCTTTGCGGCAGCAACGAGAATCAGGCACGGCATTGCGGTAGTGGATGTTACAGCTGTACAGCTGCTCTTTTTGTCTCTCCGTCTCTGTCTCTTCTAGAGCAATTTCTGCCAAACATTGGGAGCAGGAGCTTGGGATGGAGCAGCCAGGGGCCTGGATCTTTCCTGTGTCACTGTTGCCTTTGATGTCTGATCAAGGCCCGAGCCTTCCTGAATCGCGGGTCGCCGATGTTCAATCTAGTCTAGTTGGCGTCCGATGGCGATCGCAGCTCGAAGTCCTAAGTCCTAAGTGTCCGAAGTTCAAAGTCATGACTCACGACCATGTCAAGGTTTCAGATGGCCGCCACGCCGCTCATCGGCCACCTGGTGCACATAAGTTGAGAGTTGCGTGCTTTTGAAGGCAGGCCCAGGGATGTGCGTTGGCGCGGCGACCAGCAGCTGGCAAGTTCAAATCAAGGAGAGTGTAGCCTCATTTGTGCATTGAAAACCTTGCTCGTAGCTCTCTGTAGTTGGAGCCTCTCATGTCTTCCGGTACGTCGCATGTGGAGTCACAAGCTGGAGTCGGAGAGGCCACGTTACACGAGGAGGCTCTGCGCCGTGATGGAGTGTTGCTGACGACACAAGCAATACAGGAGCATGAAGGCTCCTGGCCTGCATCGCCTGTTCGGCGGCATACTGCAGCGAAGTCCTCACCAAGGAGGCCCGAGGTGTTGGATGTGGCAGACACCCAAGAGGCCAGTGCAGAGCAGCTGCTGGCACTAGGCCGCGGCAGCGACGACGTGCGGGAACTTGGCAGTCAAAGACTTGCTCCGGAAGTACCTGGACGCTTAGCCGTGAAACGACAGAGGACAGCGGAGAGTGCACAGTACAGCCAGGAGTCCCAGGTACTGAAGCTAGAATACAACCATGATGCCAGAGCCATCGCGAAGTACTTGATGGATCGTTCCGAGGAGGACAGGCGCCGTGCAGACCAAGAGCGACAGAGGGCAGAGGACGAGCGAGAGAGGCGCTTCCAGGCCGAGATGGCCAAGGCCGTGGCATGCCATCCCTGGAGGCCTTCCTGTGCCGGAGAAGGGGGAGGCCCCCTTCATGTAAAACCCAGTTAGCGTGCCATCCCTGGAGGCCTTCCTGTGC